GGGGCGTTAAACGCCCCGTAACGCCGGTGGGCGTGAGGGGTATTACCAGTGCTCTAAGGTCAGGGCCGGCTATACCCATGGGCAGGGTGGTCCTATGTACAGGGCCCATTTTTAGAGGGGGCCCCATTTATTTATATATAAAATATATGTATATGTATTTATTTATTTAATAAACTCTAAAAAAGGAACACTAACGTCGGAGGATTAAAAATTAGATTGCATTGTATTTAGAATTTATTTGATTTAAGATTACTAATATAATTTTGTGTATGGATTTGATTATTATTTGAAGTTATGAATTTGACATTTTACTATTTTTATTACTATAATGCTCTCAAGAATGCTACAAGAACTTTACAAATTCTTAGTTGGCTATCAAAGTATGCACTTATAAATTTATAAGACTATGAATTTCACATTTTATTATTTTTATTCTTTTAATATTATTTATTGTTAAATAAATTAATTCATAAATGTTATTTCATTATGACACAATAACCTTTTTTTTCTGTATCGTCCAGGGCCCCTAATTTCTCGGAGACGGCCCTGGGTAAGGTTGCAATTAAGAAAAATGCTAGGAGTACACTAAAAGTGTATTCCAAATGTACACCAGCCTCTCCAATGCCACATATATTAGCAAATAAAATAAAAAAAATAAATAAAAGAAAAATGCTAGGGATACACCAAATGTGTACTCCATTTGTCCCCCACCCCTCCTTGTCCACAAAAAAAGGCAAGAAATTCAAAAAAAATAAATAAATAAAAATAAAATAAAAAAAAGTGGTGGAGAAGGGGGTGGTGTACATTTGGGATACACCTTTAGTGTACCCCTAGCATTGCTCTAAATAAAAATGAGTGATAAAAAAGTGGATGTTGTACATTTGGGGTACCCTCATATCTCTATGCAATTAAAGGTTCACGGAGTGATTAGAGTCCTAGTGTCCCACAACTATTCCCTAAAGCTCCAATAGTGTTATAGAGACAAATAGCAATGGTAGGTGGCCTATCAAATTTAGTTATTTACTTCTGTTTTCTTTTTTTAAAATTATTAAAGTATACGGAGTAATTCATATCTTCGGTGTTAAATAAATTTTATACTTCGATTCTATCTCGTCATTCTCATTTTGACTTTTAGAAAAATCAAAGAAAGAATATTTTTATGTCTATAAGTATCTTTGATGTAGTGGTTGATAAAAGTAGAATATGATAGATATGTTATTAGTCAAAAGATATGAATTGATAGGTAAGATAAGAATTACTAAGAGCAAAATTGTTTTTTAAAAGAGATGGAAAAGACTTTTTGGGACAAATAAAAAAAAGGAGAAGGAATTTATGGGACAGAGAGAGTATAATTTTTGAAACGCGTAGTAAGAATTAAGTAGTAGTTTACATTTCTCTATCTTTTGTGTATAAGGTTATGTTTGGAAATAACATTTTCAATTAGCGTTAGCGTTTGAGATAAAATTTTTATTAATAGTGTAGATTAATTCTAAAAACGCTAACGTCAAAGGCTACAGTCAGATACCATCGACACAAGTTGAAGTTGGGTGGAAAAAGGAGACATAGAAACATATTCACCGAGAAGTGCTATGATTGTTCCATATATGCAAATTAAAGGCGCAGCTGGCGAAATCTGCACAAATGTATGAGCAGAATCATGAAAGATTATATATGGTGTGGGATATATGAGGCATAAATGTGAGGCCACCATTTCTGTGCTCTCTACTTTTAATTTTTATTTTTGGTTGTGTCACTGTCCTGACGTGCATGGATCATGCATGCATGGCTGGCCATGTCTACCCACCTTTAATTTTAATATTTAATTGGCTTATATCGATCATACACTCATACTCAATTAACTTCCCCTCAGTACGTTTTGGACCTAACAAAAAATGACCCAACCAGTTAGAGGTCATTGTTGTGAGAAGTTGGTCAGAATTATATGCTATAAAGAGAATAAAATATGTTTGGTCCTATTCAAGAAAATGTACTATCTTTCAGCCATATATAGAGCATTTTTTCATAATAATATCGGGCTAGCAAGATATTTGCAACTTCAACGTGATTGAATTTTTGAAGCTTTGGGTTACATTAACTAATACGAAGTACGGAGTATATGATATGTTTAAAACTCTTTTCTGTTCTAAAAATTTTTCATGTTTTGACTTTTTTAATAACATAGTGACATACTGACATTCTACGACCACGAGTTGTTAAAAAAGTATATATAATTACTCCCTCCGTCCTAAAACTATCTTCCCACTTCTCCTTTTTCTCCGTCCTAAAACAATCTTCCCACTTCTTAAAAAAAGATGTAAATAGACTATATTACCCTTAACCTCTCTCAATTGTTGTCATCTGTCTTCCATCTGTCTTCGGTCTCTGCCTTCTTCCCCTTCATCGGATCCATCTCACTTCCCTCTCCCTCTTTCTCCATCTCTCCTTCCTCTCCCTCTCCCTCTTCCTCCATCTCTCCTTCCTCTCACTTTCTCCATCTTCATCTAGAGATTTAATCCTCTGCGTCTCTCTTCTCTCTCCTTCTTTCTACCCATCCTTCTCAAAATCATAGATCTAAGAGTGGGGAAGTCGTATTTCTTAAAAAAATTAAAAGGGCTCCAGATCCGTACCCGATTCAGCTAAGCTATTCGGATCCATGTCATGGCAAGAAGCCGACAAATCTGCAGCTCCAGATCTGTTTCTGGTTCGCCGGACGCCGTCCCTGCCGGCGAATCCACATCCGTCCGCCGCGCAAGGCGGCAAACAAACGTCGATTCTTTGTGTGCTTTGTCGTGGGAGAAGTGGGAGATCTGCAGCTCCAGATCTTTGTGTTCTTTGGGTGAAGTGGGAGACTTTAGGGGCACTTTGGTAAAGTCAATGTATATTTTACACTTCCTTAAAAATGGCATATAGTCAACGTGGGAAGTTAGAATTAGGACGGAGGAGTATAATATAGTATAAATACAATATAATTCGGTTCATCTTAAGATAAAGTTTTGATATATCAAGATTTTATTTCATTTATTTAGTTAGATTATGTTTAAGTTATGGTCAGAGAGTGTCACTACTTGACCACAAAAAGTGAAAACAAGAAAAAAATTTAGGACAGGAGAAAGTACATTTTTTAAAAAAATTAGAGATCTACACGCCTGTTGTATTGGTGGACCCAGCGTACCAGCCAATGTAAACGCCAAGCCAGCCGCTAGCTAGCTTAGCATAGTTTTAAGAACCAGACTCGTGACCGAACCGGTCTGGGTACTGGTTCACTGGTCGAACCAGTGGTTTATATATATATATATATATATATATATATATATATATATATATATATATATATATATATATATATATATATATATATATATATATATATGTAACACCCTAATCCGTCCAGGTTTACAACCCCTTCCGAACTAAAGTATTAACTTGGTAATCGTATAATTTAAAACATTTCAAATAACTTTATTCATCATAAATGAAATTCCAAACATAATTGTAGTAAATACGGAGTGTTTAATGCGGAAGCGATTTTTAAACATGGTTCATAATAACAGAATCATTTATTTTCTCAATAAATCCACCACGACTGTCTCGCCCCTTCCGCTGCCAAGAACATGTCATTCACTCATTCTGTCTACCTGCGTGTAGCAAATAAAACATACTACACGCTCAGCGATGAAACTGAGTAAGCATATCTAAAGCGTCGAACATCCAAATAAATTGAATCTCAATTCATAAACAACCATTTGATATCATGCACACAATATATGATTCAAACATTCATGATATTCTCAATATTTTATTCCAAGTCA